ATTCTCGATTGGCACTAACCCTGGCATTCTATTCAGATTGACTTTTTAACAGTTATCCAGTTTAATTAAGGCCAATGTGAATTGTAATTTGTTTAGGTACAAAGATCATTCTATGCTAGCTGCGTTTTTGTGTTTATATGTACTGGTATTCATATTAAATAGGACCTTTTTGCCTAAGCTGTTCTTTCAAAAGGTGCCATAAGCTTTTCAAATGATATCATATTTTTTGTAAATTATATTTAATAAAAAAACATATTATAAATATATCAATAGATCAAAACTTAAAGGACCACTATAGTGCCAGGAAAACATACTCGTTTTCCTGGCACTATAGTGCCCTGAGGGTGCCCCCACCCTCAGGGACCCCCTCCCGCCCGGATCTGGAAGGGGGAAAGGGGTAAAAACTTACCTTTTTCCAGCGCTGGGCGGAGAGCTCTCCTCCTCCTCTCCGCCTCCGTTACACCCGCCGGCTGAATGCGCACGCGCGGCAAGAGCTGCGCGCGCATTCAGCCGGTCTCATAGGAAAGCATTTACAATGCTTTCCTATGGACGCTGGCGTGCTCTCACCGTGAAAATCACAGTGAGAAGCACGCAAGCGCCTCTAGTGGCTGTCAATGAGACAGCCACTAGAGGATTAGGGGGAAGGCTTAACCCATTAATAAACATAGCAGTTTCTCTGAAACTTCTATGTTTATAAAAAAAATGGGTTAACCCTAGAAGGACCTGGCACCCAGACCACTTCATTAAGCTGAAGTGGCCTGAGTGCCTAGAGTGGTCCTTTAAAAAACATGTATTTTTACAAATAGTAAATCACTTTAAAAGTATATCCAAAAATATTAAATAATTTCAAAAACATATCCAAAATTGCAGGGAGCAATGTATTAATTCTTCCTCTTCCTTTGCAGACCAGAGGGTCACACGCAGATTTCCCTGACCACCCCAGACTCTATCACTACATGGGAGACAGATGCATTCTGTCTGAGTCAGTCTGGGTATGGGGAGGCTGAGAGAGTTGAGCTTACCACAATCCAACCTTACTTTATTGACCTGACGTTTCCCCACTCTGTGGTTCAGGATGAGGTATTCCCACTCACTGCCCAGGTCTTCAACTATGAGAAGACGTGCTTGGTGGTAAGTACCACAAGGAAGATGAAGAGCCTGTTTATTTCAAAAAACTTACAGCATGGTAGTATTTGCTAAATTCACCTATAGGCATATTTGAAGGATGTCCGGAGACAAAAATGCCAAGAAAATTAACCAAATAGGTTCAGATTAAATATTGACATCAGGGTAACCTTTTAGGGATGAGTGTAAATTAACTGATACATATAGTATAGATGAGGTAAGTAAATTAATATATATTTTAGTAACATAATGTTGGATTTGCCATTGAAATGAAACAAAGCAACACCATACGTCAATACCATCATAACCACTTTCCCAAGAACCCAAATGCCTATTTCACACTGTAAACTCTCTTCCAATATAATTTCTATGTGGGTGACATGCAAACCTATCTGCCCTCTCCTGATTTCTCACCATCCCTATTGACTCGGGTCTTTGACTGCTATTTCCAACTGGATGGCTGCTCATTTTGTTGAACTTAACCTGTCCAAAACAGAGCTTCTTGTCTTTCCTCTTTCATATCCAATTACACTGTTCATAGCTTTCCCTCCCCGCACCTTGGTAACGCACCCCGCTTCCTCTCCTGCAATTGTGTCATCCAATAAACTAACCCTTCACTGTAAACTATCCTAGCAACATTCTTTTTCCCATACATGAAATTCATCCTGCCCTTGCCTCTAGTGCCACTTTAGCCCACTACCTCTAGAATGTAAGCTCGTTTGAGCAGGGCCCTCATTACCCTCTGTTCATGTGCGTCCTGCTTGTCTTGTTACAATTACATGTCTGTTAGTCCATCCATTGTATAGTGCTACAGAATTTATTAGCACTTTATAAATAATAATAATAACTAACAGAAGCACCAACACAGTATTGGATCCTGTATTTCAGATAGGCAATATGTAATTGTACTAGGTGAACAGTGAAATAGTGAGTTACTGGGTGAATGGCTCACATTAATCTTGTATGTGGCTTACAGTAAATACAAAAATGTAAATAAAAAATGTGAATACAGAATTTTTTCAGAAATACTTAGATGTTATAAATACATTGTTCTAAATAATAGCAACTAATAGACCCTGGCATTCCTTATGGATGAATATCCATTTTTCTGTATATTGGAAGATCAGTTAATTCTTCTAAAAAAACAAAAACTTATCAACTAATATAATCATGATGAAAATTAAAAAACAAAAACAAATTGCTTAATGGTCTAAATTAGTCCATGCAATTCTTTGATTTGAGGGAGCTTTGAGATTACTTTCTGTTAAAAAGAAACAGTAGACTGCAGCACTAGTTCCTCATGCTTTTTGACCCTAGTCCCCTGTGCTTTGAGATTAAGTATAACCATTTCAAATAGGGAGTGTGTCTGTTGAAGGGTCTCCCCAATGCCCAGAGAGCCATGCAACCTGCCTCTTCCTATTCCCATCCTACAGCACGAGGATGGAAGTGTAGCTGTGGAAAGACTTGGCCAAATGTCCTCTCACTCCTGCCTCATTCCCAAGATATGCTGGGTGGGGCAATTTTAATTTTAAAGTCAGTAAAAAAATGTAAGTGCCTCACCCCTTCATAACTAAACAGATAGATGGGAACGAGAGGGCATACTGTGTAAACATTCCTTGTGATATTGGATGAAAGAAGGAACTTTTCCATTCTTATGTTAAACCTGTTTCCCTTGGAAGAGGGATATTGGGGGGACCCTGCACCAGGACCTCCTATATGAAATCATTACATACATACTGTGGACTGGGGGCAGTGAGAGGCAGTAAGCAGCCTGTCCACCGCATTTTGACTTTTAAAATGTAAATGTTCCATCCTAGCATACTTATTCTATTGTTTTGGGGACCTGGCCAAATATGCACCAGATTCCCCATTTGAAATGATCTCCACCAATCCCAAATCACAGATGATTGGGGGAAAAGAGCATCAGGCTGCAGCACTGCTGTTCATCACTACTTGGCACAGGAAGTTGAGGGGCATGGCTTTTATAATTTAAATACCCATTCTCAGCATACCAAGGGGATGGGGCATGCCCCCCTCACTTCTATTGATAAGGGGACAATTGGCCCTCCCCTTGCCTGTGATTTGGAATGGGAATATGAAGTGGTAGAGAGCTGTGCTCCTTACCACTTCTATGTTTAACTCCTTATCTGTTGCATCAGGTCCCCTGTTAGAAATATTTTCTCCTATTTTAGTGGGTGCACTTGACCAGGTTCCCCCATATACACTTCCATGCTAGGGCTGTGGGATGGGCTTGGAAATGTCAATGAGCTGTGTCTCTTATTCAGAAATGGTGCATATTTGGCGCGACCTAATATTCCTTTTATGATATCATAACCCCTAATCCCACAACACAGGAGATTGGGGGACAAAGAGCAGTAGGCAGTTATCTGCTACTCTTTAGCTTTTAAAATGTAAATACCTCAGACCAGCATAACTAGTGCATGGTGCAGGAGACTCTCACTCCTATTGTTTCGGAGTGGGACATTTTACCAGGTAACCCCCAAGCATATACTGCCATTCCTGGGTTGTAGAATGGCAGTAAGTTGCAGGGAGCAATGTTCCCTCATGCCTACATGTTTAACCCTTCACGTGTCATGAATGATGAAATTCAAATAAGCTGAATATATTTTTCGACCTTCACTCAATCAAAAAAATATATAATGGAATTCAGATGAACCAAATCAATTACATATTGAAATTTGGTTTGTCCAGAGCAGTTGGAAAATTTCAGACAAAGCGAACCTAAATATTTCCTCTGTGCCCAAGTCAAATAAATAAAATATAGGTTTTAAATCCATTTATCTGACCAGACATTATCATACAATAAAATTATTTTTTGTGTGGACCACAAGATTATTCCTCCAAACTAGTCTGAGTTTGGTTTCAAAACCAGGTGTTACTGCTATTTTTCCATCTTCTTTCAAGACCATTTAGCTGTACCATGCATGATTTTAAGGATTGAATAATTCTTCATAGTTTTATTTACTTACTTTAATGTGAGCTTTTGTCTATTTAAATAATTGATTGGCTTTGGTGAAGCTGTATAACTTTGGATGTATGTTTCTTTATACATAAGCGATGAACTGATGACATTATCCTTCTCTCATTGTTACAGGTGGGAGTGTGGTTGTCTGACTCTCCCGATTTCAAAGCTGTCAAGACATATAATGAGGACACCCACTGCATTTGTGAAGATCAATCTGAAATATATACTTGGAATGTCACTGCTAAAACAATAGGTACTGGACAAAAATTTATGGAGCTTCATATTGTGGTCAGGTGAATTCCCCTGATGGCCAAGCGGGCTTCCAGTGCAACTGCAGGTCTGTGTTGCAACAGTTCATATAAACTGCTGCTTAGTCTGCCACTCTCTATGGAATTCAGAGTGCAGTGTGGGAATCCTGGCATCTGTGACCTTCTCACAGAGCGCCTGGAACCATTAAGGAATTGCAATTAATATTATCAGCCACGGACCAGGGAATCATGTTTTTTTTAAATCTTCTTTATGTTGATATCCTTGTCAGTTCAAGGAGAGCTAACTCAGATCCTGAGCTGCTGGCTCAGACAGGAGCCCACACTGGCAGCCCCCGTGGTCAACAAATAAGTAATCCAGCTCTGAAACCAAACATGAATAAAGCAAAATCCATTAGCATCTCACCATACCCAAGATGCCTTCAGAGGCATAGAACATAGAGTTCTCGAAAATTAACTGATAATATAAAGATATAAACTCAGAAGACCAGAAAGATATAAAATGAGAGGCTTATACAATGTCAGAAATATACAATGAGTTATAAATAGCGATGTACCGAGCGGTTCGCCAGCGAACAGTTCCCGGCGAACATAGCATGTTCGCGTTCGCCACGGTGGGCGAACATATGCGCGGTTCGACCCGCCCCCTATTCATCATCATTGAGTAAACTTTGACCCTGTACCTCACAGTCAGCAGACACATTCCAGCAAATTGGCAGCACACCCTCCCTAGCAGACCCTCCCACCTCCTGGAAGGCATCCATTTTAGATTCATTCTCAAGCTGCATGCTTAGTAAGAGGAGGGAAAGTGTAGCTGCTGTTCATTAGATAGGGAAAAGCATAGCTAGGTTAGGGTTAGGGTATGCTTTTTTTTTATTTTTTTTTCTATGTAATGTAATTGCATTTAGTTGTCTGCCACTGCTGCCAGCTTTTGTGTCAGGCTCACAGTGCATACTGTGCCCATTTCCCCAGTCAGTGCCACCAATTACATCTGGTGTCACAATAGCTTGGATTTAAAAACAAAAAACTTTTTTCACTGTTATAGATTGAATAGCAGTCAGTTGTCTGCCACTGCTGCCAGCTTCTGTGTCAGGCTCACAGTGCATACTGTGCCCATTTCCCCAGTCAGTGCCACCACTTACATCTGGTGTCACAATAGCTTGGATTTAAAAACAAAAAACTTTTTTCACTGTTATAGATTGAATAGCAGTCAGTTGTCTGCCAATGCTGTCAGCTTCTGTGTCAGGCTCACAGTGGATACTGTGCCCATTTCCCCAGTCAGTGCCAACACTCACTGGTGTCATAATAGCTTGCATTTAAAAACAAAAAACTTTTTTCACTGTTATAGATTGAATAGCAGTCAGTTGTCTGCCACTGCTGCCAGCTTCTGTGTCAGGCTCACAGTGCATACTGTGCCCATTTCCCCAGTAAGTGCCACCACTTACATCTGGTGTCACAATAGCTTGGATTTAAAAACAAAAAACTTTTTTCACTGTTATAGATTGAATAGCAGTCAGTTGTCTGCCACTGCTGCCAGCTTCTGTGTCAGGCTCACCGTGGATACTGTGCCCATTTCCCCAGTCAGTGCCAACACTCACTGGTGTCATAATAGCTTGCATTTAAAAACAAAAAACTTTTTTCACTGTTATAGATTGAATAGCAGTCAGTTGTCTGCCAATGCTGTCAGCTTCTGTGTCAGGCTCACAGTGGATACTGTGCCCATTTCCCCAGTCAGTGCCAACACTCACTGGTGTCATAATAGCTTGCATTTAAAAACAAAAAACTTTTTTCACTGTTATAGATTGAATAGCAGTCAGTTGTCTGCCACTGCTGCCAGCTTCTGTGTCAGGCTCACAGTGGATACTGTGCCCATTTCCCCAGTAAGTGCCACCACTTATATCTGGTGTCACAATAGCTTGCATTTAAAAACAAAAAACTTTTTTCACTGTTATAGATTGAATAGCAGTTAGTTGTCTGCCACTGCTGACAGCTTCTGTGTCAGGCTCACAGTGCATACTGTGCCCATTTCCCCAGTCAGTGCCACCAATTACATCTGGTGTCACAATAGCTTGGATTTAAAAACAAAAAACTTTTTTCACTGTTATAGATTGAATAGCAGTCAGTTGTCTGCCAATGCTGTCAGCTTCTGTGTCAGGCTCACAGTGGATACTGTGCCCATTTCCCCAGTCAGTGCCAACACTCACTGGTGTCATAATAGCTTGCATTTAAAAACAAAAAACTTTTTTCACTGTTATAGATTGAATAGCAGTCAGTTGTCTGCCACTGCTGCCAGCTTCTGTGTCAGGCTCACAGTGGATACTGTGCCCATTTCCCCAGTAAGTGCCACCACTTATATCTGGTGTCACAATAGCTTGGATTTAAAAACAAAAAACTTTTTTCACTGTTATAGATTGAATAGCAGTCAGTTGTCTGCCACTGCTGCCAGTTCTGTGTCAGGCTCACCGTGGATACTGTGCCCATTTCCCCAGACAGTGCCAACACTCACTGGTGTCATAATAGCTTGGATTTAAAAACAAAAAACTTTTTTCACTGTTATAGATTGAATAGCAGTCAGTGTCCTTAAACCGGGTGTGTTACGCTAACAGTGGATACGGTGACCAGTGCCAACACTCACTGGTGTCATAATAGCTTGGATTTAAAAACAAAAAACTTTTTTCACTGTTATAGATTGAATAGCAGTCAGTGTCCTTAAAGCGGGTGTGTTACACTAACAGTGGATACGGTGACCAGTGCCACCACTTATATCTGGTGTCACAATAGCTTGGATTTAAAAAAAAACACTTTTTTCACTGTTATAGATTGAATAGCAGTCAGTGTCCCTAAAGCGGGTGTGTTACGCTAACAGTGGATACGGTGACCATTGCCACCACTTAGATCTGGTGACACAAAGCTTGTATTTAAAAACAAAAAACACTTTTTTCACCGTTATAGATTGAATAGCAGTCAGTGTCCTTAAAGCGGGTGTGTTACGCTAACAGTGGATACGGTGACCAGTGCCACCACTTAGATCTGGTGCG